GACATGCGTTTCATGCTTTAGAGCGGTCTCGACAATTGCCTGCCTTGCATTCGCGTAAACCGTAATCGCTGAAACTTACGCAGAGCCCGGGAATAACGAATTGCTTTCTCGAAACCGAGCAGAAATAACTGCTCCATTGATTTTCGGGAGACCGATGGAAAATATCTAAATTTCCCGCGATTCCGGATTAAGGAATTATTTTGTTAGTTTTTTTTTAGAGGTTAGGAGGGAATTTCGATTAGATTTGAAATCGCCGAGTCTTATGCAGGCCCTATATAATCACATAACGAATTGCTTCCTCGAAACCTAGCCGAAAAGACTGCTCCACTAATTTCCGGAAAGTCAATGAAAAATATTTGAATTTCGCGCGATTCTGGAGTATGGATTTATTCCGTTGAATTTTTAGAGATCAGGTTCGATTAGGGGTGAAATTTCGATATGATTTAATTTCGAGGAGTAATCAGGGGAGGGCGATTAAGATGGGTTCGATTTTTCACGAGTCGTAGATCGGTTGTGGCTTTGTTTTTCTTCTAATTTTTTTTGCAAGGCACTCTGGTGAATGTTTATTAGCGAGGAACCAAACTGAGGGAGACTTTATCTACATTACCTTAAGGGGCTCGATCCACTCATCCTCGCCCCAGCCTAATTTGCTCCATCTTTTCATTTCCGTCGTCTCGTTACACCCTCTCCCGGCCCCACTCAACGTTTTACAGCATCCGCGCTTTACATCTCTCCCCCGACACTTATCTCCCCCGAGGGCGGTTCTGAAGTTGCTCTAAATTTTTCCGCACCCCCGGCCGTATCGCCACCCCCTTTCCCAAGGTTACCACCCCCGACTTGTGGGGCTTACGCTTCCAGGTGCAGTTTTTCCCGGGGTTACGAGTATTACTTTTCTTCTTCCTCGCCGCCGCGAAACGACCCCCGTAAACCCGGATGCCTCGTTAAACCAATATTCGGGATGATATTAAAATCGTATCGAAATCCCATCGACGTCCCCTAGATCGAAACTTACGACTTCGGGTTGATCAAAAGGGTGGTTGGCTCGTCGGCGACAAGAGCGTCGTCTTGAATCGAGTTTGGGGATGTCAACCCGATACCCCGGAATGCCGTGTCCACCCCCAACTCCCCCTACCCCCTGACACCCCCGAAGGGGTGCGAGGGAACGGCCAACTTCCGGAGCCGCGAAGTTGGCCGAACTCGAGGCGCCGTTCTCCCGTGGAAAAAGCTCGACGTAGACGGGCAGAGTTTTTCCGATAAGCCCGGGGTAGGAGGGACTCCCCCTGGACACGAGTTCCGAAAAATCGCCTTACTTTTCGGCTTTCCATTAGCCATTGTCCGTCTTAAGGCCGCCCGTTTCCCGGGGTGGATAGACACTGACCCGTTCCGGAAAAGAGAGACCCGGGGTCTTTGTGCCCGCGGAGAGATCGATACCCTTTCTTGATCGGAAGCCCGTAAAGACCGGCCATTTCCTGCAGGCTCCGAAATACACCGTTTCGAAGCGAAGCTTGTCACGTCGCGGTGGTGCAAGTTTTCCCGCTTAGAAAAAATCGCATGAAAAGGAGAAACTAATACTCGCATTTATTTTCTACAATTTATTAATATTTATATTCATCGTCGGGTGGTTACTAAAAATAATTCCCATTAACTAGAAGTTTCATTTCCACGCGTGGTCGCGAGGGGCAAGGCGTCGATTTTTTTTTCTTTCGTCAAAAGGAAGTTCTAGTAAAAAGAAAACAGTTCCGCGAGAAAGGATTCGCGATTTTTCCCGGAACGTTGAAAAGAGTCGAAAGGACTCAAAGGCGCGAGGAAAATCGCCTCTTTGACGAGGATCCGAAGGCAAGTGCAGCCGGATTAAGGGAGGAATGCGAAGGCAAAAGGGAAGGTTTCCGCGAGTCGGCGGCCGGAAAGGAAAAGCCTCGGCGAATTTTCCGGCCGAGACCTTTCCGGGGAAATCGTGGCGCCGAGTGAATCTTTAAATCGGTCCACCCCCGGGGGTGGCGGCGGAGACGATTGCAATTTTCCTGGCACCGTCCACCGGGGGTGGGTAATGAATTTTCTCTTCGGACCGCAGCTCCGTCCTCGGCGGTCGGTCCGCCCGGAATAACCGGAACGGTCCGACCGGGTCGAGTCGATCGCAAAAATCGAGTTTACTAAAGAGTTTTCCCTCGAATCCCACGGAAATGGAGTCGCTATTGCCACTTCCGGCCTCGAAATCTCGTCAGTCACGGCCTTTTCCGATTTAACCGCTGGTTAGACCCAAGGACACCCGACTCGACGTGGTCCTGAACGAGGTCCTCCAGGAGGAGAACCGATCCCCTAAACCGCGAGATAAATCCCAGAATAAATCGCCGACCCGAGCCCCGCGGCACTTCTTCGCTAACTCGTTGATCTCTGAATTATAAAAGAAAAGAAAAAAAAAAAGAAAGGAAAAGTCTTTTCAGGCACTCGATGTCTGGGGAAGCGAAGCCACTGACGATGAAACGCGGTACCTCCCGTGGTGCGGCAAGTTGCCACAACAGCGGGGTCGCTTCTCCCGGGGGAGTTGCCACACCCAGGCGCGCTGTAAAACGGGTTCCCGAGGGGCGGGGGAAGAACCACGGGATAAGGAACCCCTGTAATCGCCCGAGGGAGTGATTACCGATCCGACCCAATCTCGCGGTTCGACTTCCCGGAGGATCGCGCCAGTTACGACCACCCCTTTTCTTTTACACTCTCATAGGAACTTGGAGTAAAAAAAGGGAAGATTACCACAGGTCGCAAAGACCCCATAGTGATTACCCCAAGGGGTATTACTCAGGAAATCGTGTATTTTAATGCTCGAAATAACGCGGAAATCAGCTGGAAATAGTAAGCAGAAGTCACTGAGAATCGTTCGAAATTACCAAAACATTCCTGTAATTTTAATTCATTCACTGTCAGCTATGAGATATTCCATAGTAAGTGTATGTACCAAGACTGCCTCTAAATTTTCCTGGCAGTGGATGGGTTAAGGCCGACTGTCACTTGTTACCGAATCGCATTGTTGTTTATCATATAAAATTAAAGGCAATCGGTTCTGAAAGACGGAAATCGTTTTCACTGATTTCCGAATAGCCTCTCCTCTTGTCCAGTAATTCTCGAGTTCATGCTGAATTTTCTTCGCATGCGAATAGATTCGTAAGAAAAGTTTATCATTGTTGCGAAGTCGCGTAATTGGTCAACATTTGAAAGTCGCGCACGAAGCCGTCAACTTTGCATGGGAAAGATGATAGTATGGACTTGAGAATCGGTCCCTAGCATGCATCTACTGGAGATTTTTACGGAATGACGTATTCCAGAAACCGGCGAAGGTGGGATTACGCTTATTATCCGGTCAGGGGGCGTTCCGCCCCCGGGATCTCCGGATATCTTAGGAAAGGACGCGCGTCCAGGGTATCCCCGGTATCGCTCGGCCAGGACAAGCCGGATAAATCTCCCTTGAGTCCGCATTGCTCGCGCGGCCGATCCTCTTTGGCCTCCACCCTCGGGAATCCTCCCTCGCTCCGGGGATTTCACCCTTTGAGAGCGCCGACCCCCTTGAATCTTCCTCCGGCGACGTCCCCTAGGGCGAGCGTCGCGATTCCATTAGGGGTCTTCCCAATTTTTTTCCAGTTTTTCCAATTTTTCATATTTTTCAAATTCCTACGTAATACAGATATGAGACGTATATACAGATATACGAAGTGTTTCGTATATCCATAAGAAAAATATTCCAAAAACAAATGCAGCTAATATTACACAAATATTATAAAAACAATATTCAAAAGTAAAATGTTCCGCAAATATTTCAAATGTCTGATAAATACTTGCAAATGTACGATATTCATTAAATATATAGAAAGTACAGGACAGATATTTTACGTTACTAGGGTTCATGAGGACCTCCATGATCACGCGTGAAAGCTTCGAATTATTTGGTGCACCCAGCTTGGAAGAAAGTTTTATCAATATAGAGTAACCCTTGCATGTCACCTCAAAACACGTCGAGGTACCCTCGATATTCCGTTGCTGGCGAGATATAGTTCGGTTGCACCTCGAATTCGGAAAACCGAAGTCAAAGGATTCCTCCACCTCCTTTGGAAGTTATTCCCCGGAAACGCGGTTACTCCCCGTGCCCACCTTCCACCGCGTGGAGGCGCGTTTTACATTTTTCGCGCTTTATACCTTTCTCCCACCCCCCAACCGGAAGTGGGAAGCAAGATGTCGCCGGCGCGCTCCCTCGCCCTCCCCCGTAGCCAGCTCCCTTATCTCGAATTCGGAAATCGAAGGCGAGAAGGGCGGCCCTCTTCGCGGCCGCGAATGAACGGATCGAGCAGGAAGCTAGAGACATTCACTCGCGGCGGGGCGAGGAGTGCAGTGCAGGGGCGTAACACCGTGCACCCTTGGGGCTTCCCGCCCCCAGCTGGCCCACTTACGGCTGGTGAGTTTCCTTGTCGAAGGCTCACTGCCCCCTGGCCCCTGCCCCTGCTCTGCCCCCGACGCTGCCCCTTCATGGCGCGCCCTCCGCCGCCCCGCTCTCCGGCGAAATCGACTCCCGTTCTCTCGGCGGTTTACTCGACGGTCCCTCTTATAAAAGATAAAGAGAAAGAAAGAAAGAAAAAAAGGCTCTTTTCGCACCCCCTGCCGGACAACTCGTGTAATCGCGTTACGAGTTGGTCAGGTGGCGTTTAGAAAATACACTCTGTCGCAGATAAAGGAGACGAAGAAGAGGGTGAAAAGGAGGGTGTCGCGTTATAGGGCACTTGGTACCCGCTGCAAGTGGAGTTTGATATCCCTGGTTATTTTTCTAGGTCCTCTCTCTTTCCGAATTTAGATGGTATTTCTTAAATTTTAATCACTGTAATGTAATGTTTTGGCGATTTCCGTGGAATTGATATCCCTGCTTTTTTTTTTTCTAGGTCCTCTCCTTTGGTATCAAGATGATAACATTCCAATTTGAAAGACTTTGGTTTGGAATGTGGCGACTACGGTGGAGTACTCACTCGGTCTGGTTGTCCTCGAAGGTGAGCGATCCCTCGACGTGTTCGTACTGCTTGCTAGGTTTTGCGGTGCCCTCGACCGTCCGGTAAGGGACGACCACTCGACCCCTGGCCCCGCTGTATCTGACAACCCGAAGGGGGTACTGTCCCACGCTCTCCACCAGCTCCACGTCCCTCTCGGGGAAGCCGAAGATCCCGCTGTGGTCGTCGTCCAGGATCATCACCGTGGCCAGGCTGGGCGACACAAGCATCGCCGGCTGGGAGCAATTGCTCAGCCTTTAAGAGAACAGAAACAATTAACCGTGACCCAAAATTTCCATTCGATTGACATCTAAATGTGAAAATAAATGAAAAAAATGTCTCCAACAGCTACAAGAGCGATCCAGATAGCTAGGTAGAGTATCCCGAGGATTTTTTAAACGGCTCCAAAAAATGTTGAAGAACACTCCAGAGGCTCGAACCCTTCGATGGGACGTTGTTAGTCTCGGACAGAGCACTCGAGATTACGTACGGAGACGGGAGCGAACAGACGGACGAAAGGATTATAAAAAGTTGTCCGCGCTTCAGGGATTCCGTCCCTTAAGGAGACAAGGGAAGAAAGTTCGACGGAGAGTCCGCCGACGAGCTACCACGCGCCGAAGGAGTTATTCCGCAAACTTTTTTCCCCTCCCCCGTCCGGGTAATGATTTCCTGTCCGACCAGTGCGTTCCGCCGAACCGGGAAGCGTAATGACGTTTATTAGCGAGGGAACATCGGGCCTGGAAAATCGCGTTTCACCGACGAGGACGAGTCAACGAACCGTGATGGCGGCTCCCGCTTTCGCTCGTTTATCCGGTACTCTCGTAACCAGACGGAATCGGAGAAGAGCTTTTCGACGAGCACGAGAGATCGCCCCCTTCAGGCCGATCCGAGACATATCCCCGGGCCGTTTTGGACGTGCATAATTGCAGGATTTCCGAAACTACGGCCATCGAGTACTTGCACCCGGGGCTCGTTACTCCGAGAGAAGCCGAAGAGCCCTCGACAAAGACGAAGAGCAGTCCCCGGTGATCATCTCCAAGTGGACATCGACGTGCACGTACATACACACTATCTCGTATTCGCATAATATACAAAGAAATAAATTTAAAAAAATATATATATAATGAGATATATATTTCACGAGGTCGGATAACGAGCAGTGGAGCTCTTCTCAAGAAGAGCGGCTCCGAAAACGAGGTAGCGAATTTAATTAATTAATTAATTAATTAAACGGCGGAGTACCGTCCAAAATGGCCACGTCGAGTTCGCTCGGCGGCTTTTGTCCGTCGTTTGAAAATAATCCGACTTTCGTCCGAGGCGAGAGGACTTGGCGGATCGGGGGAATAAAAAAAGAAAAAGAAAAAAAAAATACTAGAGGAACCGTTAAACGAGCCTCCAGGAAAACTTTGGCCGCGGCCTCTCGGCTGGCGTTCCAGAAACGAGCAATTTGGCAGCGCCCGGTCCGGGTACTCGTCTCGAGTACCCGCGAGAGAACTCGTCGCGTACACCCTTCTCTGCCTTCAACCAGCCGTCCTCTCTCTCTTTAGCCTTAAGGTCAAGTTTCCGCGAGTCGAGGAGTCCTCGACCGAGGATTGCACCACGGCCCGACTATTCCGGTCCCCGTGACGAGAATCTTCGTCTGATATAACCGTCGAGGCCGGCCGATCTTCCTCAAGCGAGACAACTACATAAAACGCGCGAAAAGAGGCTCCAAGCATCCTCTTCGAGATGCACCTCGACAAGATCCGTCAAAATTGGGAAAAATTATGTTTAAACGGCGGTCAAAACCATCCCCCTAGCTACTATCCCTTTTTTTCGATAGACATTTAGAATCTACCCTCTACCGGCCCTTAACGTTATTTCCACCCATGATCGATATTACGTAACGTGCCCGAACACGCGACCCCTCCCCCCTTATCGAATGATTGGAAATTACATATGCTTAGAGGAAAATGGAGCAGTAGCGATCACCGGAGCATAAATGCCCCCGTAATGGGGGAAATTATCCATTAAACGGCCAGGTAAATTGGTCTAGATGAAACGTAAAACAGGGGAGGCCTTGAAGCCAGGTTTTCCCGAATGAGGGCAGACATCTCGAACGCGATCATTTGAACGCAAATTCTTGGACGCACGTGGTAGTGCAGCGGTTTGGTCGCTTCGACTGGCCGAGGTAAATTATCCCATTTAATCCTGTCTCGTATGTAATCGGCGTTACCTCGTTAATCAGCAATTTTCCACTCTAACCTGCCGAGTTCCTCGCCTAGCAACTCATCTCCGTCCTTTAAATCGTAGTTTTACATCCCAACGTCAATTCCCAAAAGTTTATTTATACTCGATCCCCCGTAACAAACACCCATGAGAGGAGATTCCCAAATAGCATCCCCTTTTTACACCGTCGCGTATTATCGAAACGATCCCAGAAGAGCAAAATCCACGGCGGCCAACCACCCTCTTCCTGGACACGTAACGTGTTCAACCACGTCCCTACATGGACCCTCGCCTCGCATAAACCGCTTCTTTACGGCACAGGGGGAAGTAAAGCTCAATGGGATGCAAAGTAAAAAAATTTGATGGGGCGGAAGGTGCATGAATTTCCCGCCGCAGCTTCGCAGGTTAAGAGAATTCCTTCGAAGCCGAAGGGGCGGTCGAGCGTCGGCGTAAGTTCCTCTCGGAGGTCCTTCGACAGGCTCAAAGAAGAGCTAGGACCTCGACGACCGGTAACGGAGAATAACCCCCCGGGATAGGAACTGAGTCGACATCCCAGGAGGTCAGCCAGGGTGGCCGTAAACGTCCCCCGGAACGAGCAACGGAAACCGGTCCCCGTGACCCTATGAAACACTCGTTTTATGGGGGGTCCTGAAGGCCGCAAACGTTTCCTGCCGCGTGGATGCGTTCCGGAGTACAATCGCGTCGATATATCGATGTTTACGGTGCTCCGTGCACCGCGTATCGTGCCATCGACGAGAACGGCTCTCGAGGTTCTGCCGGCAAGTTATAAGCCGCGACGAGGGCCACAAAGCGAGCGATTCGAGCGACCGTAACGCCACAAGGACGAGAGGAGCCTCCCGGTCGACAGGACCCCCTAATGGGGACAAATTCGCCGCCGGGTAGGACAGAGTTTCCCCTTGCCTTGGCAAATCCTGACGATCACCGGTGGGTGGGTCTACGACACGGTGTCGTCCCAACCCCAAGATTTATGTGCACTTCGAGGTATGGGGTGCGCAAACGTGGCGTACCACGAACAAGGATCTCGGAGACAAAGGCGAGGTCGAGGACTCGCCCGTGTCTCCGGGGGGTCCCGATCGAGTCCTCACCTGACGTAAAAGTGCTCGTCCTCCTCGAAGAGTTCGTCGTCGATGACGGAGAGCTTGATGGTCTTCCTGGTCTCACCGGGTCCGAAGACGAGAGTGCCCTTTGCGCTGACGTAGTCGGAGCCGGCCTCGGCGGATCCGTCCTCGGTGCAGTAGTCGACGGTGCAGGTCTTGTTGAGGTCCCCGCCTACCCTGGTGACGCCGACCTCGAAGCTGCCTACGTTCTCCATGACGGTGTAGTGGCCGGGCTCGAAGAAGACCCTGGTGGCGTTGACGGTCTCGATGTCGACGCTCTCGGCCTCGGCCCTCTGGAGCTCGGCCTTGACCTCGCTGAGGTCGCTCTGGGCCCGCTCGCTGATCTTCCGGCTCAGGCTGCCGGCACCGACCATCTTCCGGGTGGCCTGCACCCGGTAGAAGGCCCTGCTCTTGGGCCCCTTGCCGAGGACCTCCTCGTGGGCCATGACCTCGAGCTGCTCCAGAGAGAGGGTGGGATGTCGTTTGCGCAGCTCCCTCAGGGTGTTGATGTAGTCGCGCCGAGTCTGTTCGAACTCCTTGGCCTCGGGACTGTCCATCTCTCCGGGCTCGCAGCGCGAGAGGACGTCGTGCCGCGCCTTGATCTCCAGCTCGACTCCCGCGTCCGAGTCGCCGGCCTCCGCCTGGACGATGACGCCCCTCTTGTTCATTCGGTAGCCCTTGTGCAGGTACTTGTAGAGCAGGAGCCTACGGTCGGCCACGTAGGCCGTCAGCACGGTCGCCGGGAAGAAGGAGAAAGTCAGGATGCCTTCCCAGACCTCGAGCACCCCCGGGCTCGACACCGCCAGGATCAGGTACAGCCAGACGTAGGCGAAAATGCTCCAGGTCGCCGTCACGAAGAAGACCCGCAGGTGCTTGATCTTCCTGGTCTCCCCCGAGGGGATGACGAAGACGCAGAGGGCGATGATGACGAAGAGGTTGTACGCCGCGGATCCCACGATGGTCCCGGGGCCCAGCTCGCCAGCCTGGAAATTCTTCGCCCAGATCTCGATAATCGACAGGAGGATCTCCGGCGCGCTGCTTCCCAGCGCCATCAACGTCAGGTTGGCCACCGTCTCGTTCCAGACGCGCACCACCACGATCTGCGGCTCCCGCCCGTGTCGGCGGACCACCAGCTCTTTTTCTTGCGACGTTATCACCTCGATCGCCGCCATGAACCGGTCGCTGATGATCGACACCCCTATGAACAGGTACAGCAGCAACAGGAAGTACACCAGCCCCCGGAAGACGACGTCGACGAGGTTCAGGTTCTCCAAGGGCTCCCATATTGGGACCACCAGGCCCGCCTCGCAGCGCACCGTGTAGTTCCCGGACATGCTTCCCTCCCCGTTTCTCCGCTCCTCGCCCCCGACCCGGACCCGGACGCGCGCAAAGCGTCCCTCTCCCCTTCGGCGTTCGCCCTCACCCCCGGGAGCCCAGTCCCCCGAGACGCGCCCGTTGTCTTTCCCGTCTCTCCCTGCCGGTTCGCCGCCGACCGGGCTCCTCCCTTGGGCGCCTCCTGTCGCTCTTTCTCTCTCGCTCTCCCGCTCGCTCGCGCCCCGCTCTGTCGCTCCGTCTCCGTCGCTCGTCGTGCTATCGAGCAGCCTCCTTCTTCTGTCCGCTACATGAGATCGGCTACCGAGGGGACTCGCCGAGGCTAGCGTGACAGAGGGCTCCCATCGCGCGCAGCGCCACCTTAAAACGGAACGGAACGGGACCGCGTTCGACCGAACACTGAGCCGCCGAGCGCGAGCCGGACCGAGGCGAGGTCCCTCTCCTCGCGGATTCGCCAACCCCTACGCCGCAAGGGGCGCATGCGCGCCACGCTGCACCGAGCCGCCGACCGATGCCGCCCCCGGGAGGACGCTACCTTTCGGGGCGCGCCAGGCGGACGCGGACTCCGGTCCTGGAAGCCAACCCGGAAGGGCCTCCTGGACGGCTCCTCTGGGAATATGTTTACGACCCCCAGATGATATATATTAAGAAATTCTGTAGAGTTTCGCACCAAATATATAAATACAAGCGCTTAAATATGTATCTCCCAGGGGATCCTTCGAGTGATCGCACGTCCTTTGTGGGCGTTTTAGGTAAACCGGGGAAATAATGCTTGCAGATTGCAAAATGTGTCATGACAAAATTTTACCCATGATCGATTATTGCTTTATTTAGGTTTTACAGCGAGAGGTGGGAGGAAATGGAAATTCCGGCGCCATAAATTAGACGATATGCCGCGTCCTGATGCGAGAGGGTATGGGCGCATCGCTGGACACGGATACGGATTAGACGGATTAAATAAGTTTTTACTGGCGGCTAGCTGGCAGCGCTGGCCGAAGAGCGGAATCAAGAGCCCGGTAGAATTCACGATGTAAATGTAGATTAACCCGTTTACCGCCGAGTGTTTTGTAAAACTTGGTTATCGCCCCGACAGATTAAACTTCACCTCTCGACCGCCCTTCCGGCGCGCGCCTCTTGTTCGGCGCAAAAAGAGAGTTTAATCCACCGTACGTAAATTAGACGTAAATGTAACGTGGGAGATTTTAATCGTAAAGTGTCGCGCGGTATCGATTTTCGAGAGGTGCTATTGCGTCCCGATCTTTGCGGGGGTGTTGAATTAGATGTAAATTAGAGGAAAAGTCGGGGCGAAACGAGTACTCCCTTGCGGTGGCGGAAATGTTAATTAAATAACTTGTACCGCGAAAATGGGATGTACGTTCCTACGTGCCGATGAGGAACACGGAACGAATTAATTGCGCCAGCGGAAAATTTACATGCGCTTCCTGGGCAATGTATATGTAATACGGCTATTTACATTATTCGTTAAAGGCACTGTTTGTTACTCATTTCACGAGCGTCATAATTGCTCGGGGATAAACTTCCTGATGTTAACGCCAGGCCGCTGAATTTTGTAACTGACACCTGATGATGCCAACGTGTCCAGGATCTTCATCGAAACCCGGTTTCGAAGTTGATAATGCAGTTACTATCGCTACTGGAAAATTGGAGCGAATAATTTCATTTTACGAGGATGACCCATCCCGGGGACTGAGCGATTAAAAAAGGGGTATTAGTTAAACAACGGATAAAGAGGAAGGAAAAAAAAGGAGAAGAACGGGAAGCACTCCAACTTCGAGGATTTGAATCGCAGCTGGAAATAATTGTCCTTTGAATTCTCGAGGAAGTTTCAATCGTCCTCTTCCAGTTGTCCTATTTCGCCCATTTCGGATGTGTCCATTTTCTTGGCCTTCAGCTCGCTCTTAATTTTCTTTTTCGCCTTTCTCTCTTTCTCTCCGGAAGATTCGTAATTGTCCTTAATGTGCATCCAGAGCCTCTGTAAAGTTCAGAGCCTCCTTTACCGAGGAACAAAGCGTACCGTTTTTTCAAGACTTTTAAGCTTTTGTAGTTAATGGAAAGTAATATAAATGAATGAATAAACAGCCATTCGACGGGTAAAAATTGACCGACAAGTGATAGAAGCGTCCGCTATGAATTGCAACTAGTCCGACATGACGAGATCGCGATGAAACGTTAATTACTGCCTTTCACAAAATCACGTACTCCTTCGTTATACTTCTCGAATATGGCCTCGCACATGTGATCGTAGAACCTCTCGAAGAACATAGATCCTACAACTATTGCGAGGGTGAAGGTCGAAGTGCGTCTCGAAATGTATTGGTAAAAAGCTCGAGCAGCCATTTTGAAAACTCCCGGTCTCAAATCATCCCCTGAACTTGCAGCCTCGTCGTTCCTTTTTTTTTTCTTCATTCGAGTTAGCTCGGTTCACTCAAAAGTGGCTAAAAGTGCCCGAAGACATTTTCCTCCGGTCAAACGTCGAGCCCATCGCAACCATGGGCGATCATAAATCCAGTGGAAATAAAAAAATTTAACCGTACAATATGCCCTAACGATTAAAAACCGCGGCGGGAGGATGACAACCCTTAACCAGAGAGCAGCCGGAAAATGCAAACGCCACGAGGAGGTCGAGCCCTGTGGAAGGTCCGTTTTTCTTTTTTCCTCCGCGGCTTTTAATCCCCTCCTCCTCGATTGCCCCTCGAAGAGATCGATTTCAATAGAAAGATTGCAATTCGAAATCTCCCCGTGACCTCGATTTCCCTCCTATCGCTAATTATCGGCCGAGGGAGGTTAAAGCGCGCGTAGAAGAATCTCTCGTAGCATCGTAAGGGTCGGACGTTCTATTTAAAAACATTATCGGAACTTAATTACCCCAGATCACCGACCAATGAGAATCCTTTTACCTTGCGGCATCAAGGCATCGATCCACCCTCTTTGGACGTGGAAGCCACGGTGAGTGAGTCTTTACGAAAAATCGAGTAAAACCACCCCATCTCCGCCCAAGGAGGACTGCAATCAGAAACTTTCTTCCGTCCTACCGAGGACGGTAATCATATTCCTCGGTAATTTCTTAAAGTTCAGGAGTACAGCCGGCAAGCTAATTTACACAGAAATTACGTTGCAGGTGACCGTAGACGTTACCGGGTCGATAAGCTCGAGGTGAGTTCGATTTATTGGGGGGGTCGATTTCGAGAGCGCGAAAAAACGACTTTTTTCTCACCCTTTTTATCCCAAGGGAGGTGATTAAGGATTCACTTGTTGCTTTGCAGGGGATGCCAGTGGCCCACCGAGAGGACTGCATTTGCAAAGGCTAATAATCCGTAAGTCGTTTCTGTAACGCAAGTGCTCGTTTAAGATCGTTAATGCTTACGCCACGTGCGTGTGCGTATGTAGGGAATAAACATTAACGCCGGCTCGCCTCGTTGAGAAAAAAATTATTTCCGGGCACAAGGGCTATAGAGCATGGGAGATTTTTTTTTTAACACCTTTTGGAAGGTATCTACAATGAGAAAGAATTATCAGTTGACGGAAACAAATATATATTGTTACCTGAATCATATATCATTGCAAGGAAGAATTATTTTGGTGAGAGGAAAAATGATGTCGTTGATTTAAACGACTTTCGTTTACTCTTACTGACATTTCTTTGCGTGTATTTCATCGCAGGATTTTCTATTAGCAATACATATTTCTTTGAGTCAATTAACTTTTTTTCTCAACGTAGAGGACATAATCGCTTCGAGAGGTCGCAAAAGCAAGATGGATAGCCGGTACTCGTGGTTCACTTTCACGTCCATTCGTCACTCAAACACGCGAGGGAAACGCAGTTAAATTTCTCGGATAAATCTTCTCGTGGCTGAAAAAATGATCTATCGTCGATCCCAGGATTTGTCTTGGTTTCAGGACGAACAGACAAACCTCGCCCCTTCGGGCCATCGGTCCAACCCGACGTGGAATCGGCACGAGGGCACATGTTGATCCAATTCTTATTTGTGGGACGGAAGAGACACCGAAAATGGGGGAGAAGTTTCAGGGGAAAAAAACATGCGACGTCGCTGCTTGCCCCGCGGTCAAGAGGATGAAAAAGGAGAAGACCCCCTGCAAAACCGAGGACTGTCCCGGAACTTCCGCCAGGAAAGGGAAGGACGCGAAAAATCGCGAGAAATGTCCCGGGAAGCACCCACTTGCAATTCTTGGGTAATTAGAATTCCCGGAATTTTGGCTTACTTCCGCAGAGTTCCAAAGCTTTCCGCGAACACTTCTTCGTTAGGTTCAAAGTCCTTCTCGAAAATCAATTGTATCCTCGACAATTAACCGGAGTGGCTTTACCGCCTCAAAATATGTAACCGATCCGAGGTGGAAAAATGAAGCCGGGGATTTGCAGCGAGATTTGCAGTGCACTCTGTTACCGAGGGAAACTTTTTAATCCGTTTCTGTCAGGATGTCGAATAACGCTTGGGTTGTTTAAAGCTGACAGCAATTGTGCATAGCGAAATCCGGACAGATGTAGAGCGCCTTTTTCCTGAAAAAAATGTGGAAATCTCTGAATAAAAATGTTCTGCGTGGAAATTGGACCGAGATACGGAAATGATGTGAAATTATGAAAGGAATGAAATTCTTGAAGAGTTTTTCAATGTCACGTATTTCTCTGTTTCAGGGGAGTCTTAATTCGCGTGTAAGTTACTCCTTTCGATGTCAAGCTCCTAGACGAGAATTTCCGCCGTATTTTCTCACCTCCGCGTCTGTAAAATGATTTCGCCGACAAAAAGGCTCGCAGGATGAAGAATGGCACGAAGGGTGATAAAAAGAAGCGGCTAGATGGGGAGGAGCGATTTTCGCATCCAAAATCGAAGAAGAGGTCCAAGGAGATCCAGTGCAAGTCGTGCAGCCAAGATGCCGTGGGTGTCAGTGTGTGCACCGAAATGCCCTCGATGAACACCACGGCTACGTCTTGTCTTCAGGATTGTCAGTACCTCCCAAAGAAGCAAATCATTCGAGAATTTGTCAACGTCGACGTGATGCACGACTCGGAACTCCTTCAGTCGCGAGTTTCTCTGCGGTATCCGATATTCTCATTTATTCATTTAATTGTAACATTCATTAAAACCTCATATTCTGTGATAATGGATTTCAGACAAGAACTGGCTGACAGCTGTTTACAAGATAGCAGCAAATTGAATCGGGGTAAAGCGTACTCTAACAATTGCATGGGTTCAGAGGCGAGCGACAGCATTTCAGAATTCTAATAATCCGGAAGAAATAAAGAAGAGAAATAAACGCGAGAAAAAAATGAACAATTTGGCACAGGACTTCTCAAGAATGTCAGTAATAAAATTTATTTTCTCGCGTCGATACTGTTTTACGAAGCCGAGCGAATTGTATTTTATTCACAAAATGTTATAATAATTATGTACAACGGCGGCCGCAGCTGATGCATTATTATACATCAGACCGAAATTATGCTGACAATTAGATACGTTGTGGTGCACTCTGAGTGACTGGAATTCACTTGAGAAATATTTCTCTACGGTGGCAACTGGATGATAAATCGAATATCCTCTCCCAGAAATTCAGAATTAGCCTACGTATAAATTGCGAGCGAATTTCACCCTCAACATTCCTTCGTAGTCCTTTTCATACAAACTCGACTCTCCAACAACCAGTGTATGAACAGTCTTTCCTGTATGCATCACTCGGTTCGTGTAGATTCTCTAACCCAATCTTTCACGTCTGGCCCTCAAGACGAAGGCATCAGATTTCTGACCAAGTTCACAGGGCCTTGCAGAACTTTCCGAGATAACCTCATGACACCAGAGACTGGATCCCGTCCGAAATACTTGACTTGCAGCTCTTGACCAACTTCCAAACCCAGAGCACTCGGATGGTTCACTTGTCGCTGATCCAATTGCGAATTGTGAAGCAAAGTTGGAGGCATTGTGGGGTACAAGGTTACCATCACTCCCGTGTCTCTCAGTTCAGTTATCTTCGCCTTATAGATTCCACCAAACTCCAGAGTGGGTTCGCGGTCCTTCTTCAAGATCTGCTCGATCATTTCTTTGGCTTCGCGCATCGCCGTTTCATTCGGAGCGAACAGAGAAAACGTCGTCTCGTCCACAGCGTTCACCTAAAACGAAAGTTACATTTTCAGTCGATTAACTTTGTTATACGATGACCTTAACTCTTAATTTTCTTTCTTCACTTACATGAACTCCGGTTTCGACGAGAATTTTCTTCAGATTGCCGCCGCCCAAACCGAGAAATTTTGCGCGCTGGTGTATAGGAACTTCAATGTTCTCCGTAACTGGCATGTTAAGTTTCTTCTCTCGCCTCGGAGAGCAGATTGCTTGGTTCATGATACCAACTATCTCACTTTTCGCGTTGCTCGCAGCTTCTAGGCTTTCCATGATGATTTTCAATGGAAGGCCAGGGACTTTGATGTCCGCCTGTAAGGACGTGATGCCCTTTTTGGTGCCTGCTACTTTAAAATCCATGTCGCCCATGTAATCTTCAATGCCCTAAACACATTTCAGTGTTAATTTTCTCTTATTTTTCGTGAACTTCAATTTTTAAATATATGGTTAAAGAACGTACCAGTATATCGGTTAAAATTCTATAATCTTCAATTACATCTGGATTTTCTTGACTGTATTTTGTAACTAATCCAATGGCAACTCCTGCAGCAGCAGCAGAGATCGGAACCCCTGCATCCATCAATGCAAGACTGCCTGCACAGACCGATGCCATCGACGAAGACCCTTTCAATAAATTATTGTTCACATGAATAAATCATTTATACAATGCGAACTGTTATAAAACTTCCTCTCCCATTATCTTCTTTTTTTACCTACCGTTTGACTCAAGAACTTCGCTAGTTAATCTTATCGTAAATGGATAGTCTCTAGGAACAATTGCTCTTAGGCCCCGTTCCGCTAAGGCTCCATGTCCTAGTTCTCTTCGACCTGCAGGACCACTTCGCCCTACGTCATTAGTAGCAAATGGTGGAAATTCATAATGTAGAAAAAAGTTCTTTTCTTTAAATCCACTAAAATAAAAAAATATTCACTATCCTCGTATATTAAGAACGAGAAATCGTACTGGTGTCACTTTTAATTACCTGGTCAGCATGGAAATTGTGTCTAATTTTAAAGCGCTGTCTGCAGAATCTAACGTTACTGTACAGAAAACTTGAGTTTGACCTCTTTGAAAAAGTGCCGAACCATGAAGAGGTTTGTAAAGGTCCACTTCACAAGATATTTTACGTAGTTCTTCTAAAGTTCGTCCGTCACACCTACGAAATTAATTGTAAAGAGTAAGAATCATTGTTATTTTCATTTTGTATGCTAATGAAGTTACATACCTGCTGTTATTTTCAAAGATAAGTGATCTAAATGTTTCTCTGCAGACAACATTAAATGCATTAACAACCGCAGTTACATCCAAGTCTGAATAGCTTCGTTTCATGCTTTCAAGAATGTCAGTTTTAAGCTTATTTACAGCCTCATCCCTTGAAAGTTTGTCATGACTGCTATCCATGAATATCTCTCGTAATTTCATATTTGCTAACAATTTTACAGTGTCAGTAATTTCCTTTTGATTGTCAGTTTCTAATGGAATTTCTCTTTTCGGTTTACCAATCATTTTTTGAAGTTCTTGAATAGAGTGCACAATGTTTTGGCATTCCTTAATGCCTGTCTTTATTGCTTTCTTTAGATCTGGTTCCAATATATTCTCTGCAGTTGCCTCTAACATTACAACATGATTCTGTTTTGTACCAGCAACGATTAAATTTAATTGAGTTTGTTGCAGGTCTCGTCTATTTGGATTGATTAACAATTCATTACTTGCAAAACCAACTCTAACTGCTCCGACAGGTCCATTCCATGGGATATCGGAAATAGCTAAAGCAGCCGAGGCACTGTTAATTGATAAGATATCTGGATCATTTAAATTATCGATTGCAAGCATATTGCAGATAATTTGAGTATCAAAACAGTATCCCTGTGGGAAAAGTGGCCTTAAAGATCTATCTATCAGTCTGCTAGTCAGAATTTCATTTTCAGAGGGTCCAAGCTCCCTTCGCAAGAAGTTCATTGGTATGCGACCAGCTGCAGCGGATTTCTGCCTATAGTCTACTACCAAAGGAAGAAACGAAGAACTGGAAGCTTGAGTTTTACTAACAACCGTGGACATTACAGTCGTATCTCCTAATGTTGCGGTTGCACATCCATCAGCTAATCGTGCGTATTTTCCACTAGATATTTTCATTTCAGTCCTGAATAAATCAAAACTTTAATTAATACTTCTGTCCTTATAATATGAGACTGAGGATATTGTTTAAAGGGTGAATAAATAAAAATGGTAGGGCATCGAGAAACTAATCGGTTAACCAGTTGAAATACCATGTCATATGTAAAAAGAATGATCAAAATCGAATTCGTGAATGGATGAATTATTCTCATCCCATAAAAATCATGATTATTTAACATACATTTCTTTGCTTTTAAAATGTTTAATAAGATAGTCAATGATACCGGTATTTTCCACGAGGTTAGGTTAGGTTCAAGAACACGTTACTTACCCATTTGTGAACTTGGCAACAGACTCTGCATTTTTTTTAGGATGAATATTTGTACTAAATTTTGCATTCAATGCACTACTAATTTTAATGTGGCTTTTATTGAATACAAACGCAAACTTATTTTGTTTGAATAACTTGGGACTTACAAACACCGCCATGCTTCCCGTCTCCAACACTGTCTAACACAGATCACACATGTCTCTACCATAACTCTGCATTATCAACTTTTACCAGTCTTGATAAGTCTCACAGTATCAGTACTTTTTCAAAGGCAACAAAGTACGAAGCATGGGTATTTTTATTTTTGAATTGAAGAACTAATCATTTGGTAATCAGGTTAAATAATTGTTATAAACATTCTTCTCTGTATACAGTATCTTATTTGGTTAAGACTTAACCTATTCATTTCACTTTAAGAAAAACAACTGTTGTTATTTCCAATATCAGTTGATGACATTTTAGACCATTCATTCAATTGGTTTTAATGAACGATAAGATGCAACAAATGTCTAGATTAGAAATAAACGTTAGACGTTTATTATCACGTTGTGAACTTATGGCTAAAGATGATCCTGATAAAGACTGGCGATTGGAAAAGGTATACTAATTTTTATTTTTCGGCTGTTATATTTTATGATAGGTTTAGATACTAGTACGCAGTATTGAAGTATTTGATTTTTTTTCCAGTATATATTGGCCCTGGACGGTATGATAAAAAATCTTCAAACGTTACCTAAGTAATTTTATTAAATTGAATATACTGATTTGTATTCATATTATTTACATACACATTAGTTGTTTTATTTTTGTCTACTTTTAATTTTAGCAAGCCATCAAGGGACTTAATGACGGAGTACATTAGAAGAATTGAATTTCTAAAAGGAGTAATTGATACAACAAAGCTTTCAAACCCTATCGAAAAGGTTGCGGCAGCACAATTATTACCCAAAAGTGTTGTTACAATGTCAGATAATATTGGTTCCAGCATTACAACGCAAATACATCAAAAGACAACTGCCAGGTTCAATAAGGAATTACGATCAGAATTGTTTAATACCGATAAAGGTAATATTTAAAAAAAACCTCTCCCCTATAGTTCATATGTATTGTTTGATTACTGTCTTCTAGAATCACCTGATAATGGTCTCAGGCAGCGAGTAATCCACCAGAGTTCTCAGGAAGAAGATTTAGATGCTATAATAAAATATAACCGAAACATTCAGGAAAAAATAGCAGAAAATATGCTTTTAATGACCAATAATATGAAAGAGCACGCACAAACTGCAAGTGCTATTATCAGGAAAGACATCACATCATTGGAGAAGTCCGATAAATTGACTGATACCAATGTTAACAAACTTAAAAAAGAATCTATAAAATTGGAGGAGCATACGAAGTCAACTTGGAGGTGTTGGGTGTGGGTCATGGTTGCATTTGTACTCATTGTTTTCTTTAGTAAGTGTAATTGAAAAGTCATACATGTTATAATATATATTTATAATATAAGTAATTTAACGCTTTCTTTTCAGATATGGTACTTTTTATGAAAGTAGCCAAGAAAAAAGTATGATAAATATGGTAAACGTTTAATAACTATTTAATATATATAATGCTAATAAGTATTCATTCCATAGAAAATTTGTAATATATAGAACAAATATTTTGAGACTTTTTATGCTTAACAGGAGCTGCTTATAGATCCCTCCATGTGAACCCTTCCGGTGAAGTGCTGCTACCTTGCGGTTAGTATGGGAATTACTAGCAATTTGAAAGGGACCACACAAATGGCCTAAAAGAGCCATATTTATCGTTTAATATTACTGAGATTTTGTATGTTCCACCTGCTTATCCAAGGATACGTTCATTCTTGTTTGATTAACACTAAATTTTAACGTTTATAAAAGTTTCAAATGAAAATCTCGTTCAAAAATTACGCGGCTCCGCACGTCTGCCATCTTGCGGCAATGTTCGCACCAGAGATTTGAAATAAGAAAAGTAAACGTTCGGGACGCTTTCGAATAAAACCCACTAAACTTAAAATAGATGTAATTTTATGTCTGTTTATTCATTAACGCGCAGCAGGCGGTTTGAAATAGTTTCAAAACCTAGAACGTGAAATGCATTCTATATACATGCGACTTTGAGACCTCTTACGACAAGTCGGTGATGCAATTGTAACCTAGAATTACTGGTTGCCGAATAAACGATCGATAATGGGTGACAGACACCATATGAACAAATATAAACCGCAATAATTGTGAAAATCGACGAACAAAACTTTGATGCTAGGGCATTTTGATATAAATTGGGTTAAACGGCGATAACGTATTTAATTTCCATCATTTTCAAGGATCTTGAGTAAATAGCTACTCTAGATTTCTTTGGTGTTTCGGTATTGATTGACTAAATTTCTGTCAGTCGGAGATGCGCGGAGAAATAACTTACAAACTTATGGACCGTTCTACATTTTGCACGACCAGCTATTTTGAACATACAATAGTAACCAACTAATAAATTCACGGCAAAATAATGAAACTGATTTATGAATATAAATGCATGAATTTGCAATAGTGAAGCTGCGCATCCCTGAAGTCGCCATTTTACGTTAGATCTCGAAAGTTCCAAGTATGGCAGACCGTACCAATTGAAAAACTTGAAAAATCTCGTTTATTATTAAGCCACCGCTCAAATTGAATGAAAAATCACGTCAAGAATGATTTTTGCGTTACGTTGTTAGTTAAAACGGAGGTGAGCGACATGTCTGTCCGAGTCGTCCAGTATTCAAATTTCGCATCATTAGGGCATTCGCACAGCGGATTGGTCGACAGGAGAACCTTTCTCAAGATGGCGGCTGCGCGGGTCAAACGTGGACGCATCTCTCAGTGCCTCATGACAGGTTTACGCGGCCAGGTATACACCTACAGTTCGGTAGCAGTGCATCCGAGAAAGAGGGCACTAGCGCAGCGAAGTCTGCGCGAGAAGGAAAGCAACTGTGAGAGAGGGCGCGTCATGAAGGCGCGCGTGCGAGTGAGCGAGAGCGGCAATAGAGCGAGAGAGAAGCAGAGCGCAAGAGTCCGCGTATGACGAGCAGCCAGTCGAAGGACCGAGTTGCGATAGTCGATGGCATGTTTTCGTTTAACTAACTCTTTGCAAACCGAGCGGGAGTGTGAAACGTATTGACAGCGATATCTCGAGGGAATTCCGCATTTATCGCAAACAGGTAAGACCATTGGGAAGCTCTGTAACCCCGGTAAAATAGAATCATTTAACGCGCTCGAATTCGTATCAGGTTTTAGGCCGTGTGGGAGAGCGCGTTCGGTGTAACGGCAGTGCGAGAGAGAGGGCCGACACACAGAGGAATAAAGACCATGGAGTCGAGCGCACATCGAACACAGGAGAAAACTATAGACGGAGGTGAGATTTTCTATGGTTATCTTCGTTGAAAACGACTTATGGGGGGTTTCTTAATTATGTAACAGTGTTTGGTTTCGTTTATCAATGCGCAGCGACCGTTTTTCTAGCCCTCGCGTTAGTGAAATACTTAAGTATTCAATAGAGGACATGCAGTTTCTATCTCACTTCTGCACGATCATTATACATATGCAGGGTTAGTAAGACGATGATTTAATGATTCCTTATTATGATTGAATTTCAGAATGGAATTTCTCACAAGATTTTTTAATTCTTGCATAGTGATAGTCTTTATTGGAAAGTAGGACAATTATGTTTAGTTGTTAAGTACTGTTACCTTTGTGGGGAAGTAATGCCATGAGAATGTGTTTGACTTTATTATGGAATAGTTTGATGGAGTTATAACTTGGCCAATTCATTTAATTTGTGCAATATTTTTGTTGAGATATGTGATAATTATGTTTTGCTTGCTGGATTAATAAAGTTTTTATTGCAGTTCATATAGTGATGTGGATGCAGCATATATTATCTTTTCAAAGGGAAATTGTAATTAATTAATATCAATTGTAATTAATGAAATTCATTAAAATCATGCATTTTTATAATGCATATAAATTGTTTTCAGTGAAATACTAGAAATATTTGTCAAAAATATCCTTTATTAATTAAATACATTTATGATTTAAAAAATTATTATCTATTATTTATTTAATAAAATAGTAATATATTTTAACCGAATATTTTTTAAAGGTATTTTTAACTTGATAAATATTTCTTTCATTTATAGTAAATTAATGCTATTTTTTAAATACAGTGATGAATTATTTTTTAAAATATAAATGTGTATTTGATGCTCTTCCAGACAATGGCTTCGTCTGGCAAGATTATTTGGATGTTACGGAAAGTGTCGAAGTACCACAGATTATGTTTCCTCACGTTGAGTTGACATTGCAAAGTGGTATTGAAATCGGCATGTCTTTAGAAGTACCAACAAAGAAAAATACAGAAGATGATGGATGCTACTGGGTAGCGTCAATTGTAATGGCATGTGGCCCTTTATTGCGATTAAGATATTTCGGTGGAGATGACCGGTCACTTGAATTTTGGTTTAATCTCACTAAGGAATTAGCTCACGAACTCGGGTGGTGCGTAAGGAATGATAAAAAATTAAAACCACCCGATGTTGTATTACAACGATCACCTGATTGTTTAGAAAGACTGCCAGAATTTTTAATGACTGCAAGGTCCATTCCATCAGAAATGTTAGCCGGGGTGTGTATTTTATAGATATTATTATGTTACATTTTGACAATTTTTAAGAAAGTTTCTAAGTAACTAATACAACATATTATACAGGATGGACTCAGTATGACCGATAGAATCAAGCATGGAATGAAAGTCGAAGTCAGTGATGTAAGGCATCCATATAAATTATGGGTTGCTACGGTAATTACAGTTATCATGTTTTAACTGATCAACTACATTAATAGCCCAAAGCAGCACCGTGAGATAACATATCAAATATGTTTTAATTTTAGATAATTGAAAATGTGGGAGGTCGTTTACTGCTGCGATATGATACTCCAGGATCGAAGACTCAAGATTTCTGGATATTTTGTACTTCAGAACACTTGTACCAATATGGTTTTGCAAATAAGTCAGAGTCTCAGTGGTTCTTGGAGCCTCCTAGTTCCATTCTTGAGATGCACACCTACGAAGAGTGGAAGGAACTGACAGAATCATGTCCAAAGAACGATGAAATTCCAGATAATTTATTTAAAAATTGTATAAATCATTCGCCCCATAATTTTAAAATTGGTATGAAGTTGGAAGCTCTTTCACCCGATGATAGAGCAAAGATATGTGTGGCGACTGTCATGAAAGTCTTCGATGACACATATTTTTTGGTACAAATTGATGATTTTATTAAGAAGGAACAGCTACCAAATAGCGAAGCTTTCGTTAATGTTTCCAAAAGAGATACTTGGCTGTGTACTAGTGAGCATCCTTATATTTTCCCCATCGGATGGGCTAAGAAAAATAATTTAAAGTAAGTTCCGCTCACAGTCAGGAAATATAAGAGGTGTATTATACAATAAGTAAATTAAAAACATTTTATTTTATTCACAGGGTTACAAATCCAGATGGTTGGATAAGTAAGTCGGGCGAATTCGACTGGGAGGAATATTTAAAAGAGACGAATTCTGTAGCAGCAACCGAAGACTTGTTTCACGAAAGAGAAAGCGCAGTTGATGCGGGATTTGAATGTGGCATGCGATTAGAAGCCGTCGATCCGCAGGATGAAAGTGTCATCTGTGCAGCACATATTACAAAAATAATCGGCAATTTGTTATGGTTAAAATTAGACAATTACGAGGACACTCGTCCCGAGCACGTAGTCTTTATGCATTCTTTAAAAATCTTTCCAGTAGGCTGGTGCGAGTCTAATCATTACCCACTAAAGCCACCCAAAGATTACGTCGAAATCTGTAAGAAATTGGAGGTTCCTGTAAAGGAGACAAAGAAAAGAGACATTTTGGATATTCCCATATCCGAGCCTAGGTCGTCTTTATGGTGCCCGAAAATTTATTTCAATTACCGTTGCTATACGGGCCCTATGATCTCCAAGGGGAAATTAGCCACCCTTCCGAAAGCGGTGGGTCCTGGTCCCGTAATTTTAGTCATGAGAGAAGTTCTGTCCATGATAGTCTCTGTCGGCTACAGAAGCTCTAGAATTTTAAAAGTTCTTCAGTGCGACTCTAAACCCGATCCTGGCTACCACTTGGAAGTACTTAAAGCAAAGCACAAGAATAACACTTATCGAGCTAGTGTTGCCGTAGTCACGTCTGGTGACATGGTCGCCGACTTCTGTCGAAATATTTGTAAGAAATTGATGGTTTGCCCTAATTTATTCGGTCCTCTCTACGTTTCGGAGGATGAATGCCCGGACAGATGTCACAAGACGTCGAAATCGAAGATCGGTAAATGCAATAATTAAATTACTCCGTTCAGCGTATTTCGCAAGACTGAAGTATATTTAATAAAATATGTACTCTGCTCATTTGAAAGTATTTTATTTTTAATTACAGCCGCAAGCGTGGGAATAGGCAGGCGAGGGAAGCCAAAGGGCTACACGAGCATCATGGTACAAAAGCCGAAGCCATGGGGAGGACGGCGTAAAAGGCGTCGAGGTCGGTGGGCGAGTCGCCATAAAGTCCTTAGCGACGAAGCCGGGGAAATCGAGGACGAAATGTCATTTATGACTTTGGATCTCGCGAAACATGCTTCCATGGTAATGGAAGAAGCCTTCGACGATAGGCCTCCTCTTTCTGAGATCGACATAATGATTCAAAAGGGCCTCGAAAAGTCCGACAAATCTGACGACCTCAAGACGGAAGGACCTTCCAGCAACGCATCCGAAGACTCTAGGAGTTCTTTCAATGATAGGAAAAGTAAAGACAGTACCGAGGGAAGTTCTGGCGGAGGAAACATTAAGCCAATTTCGAGGTGCAACCAGAATGGTACCGGGCCTAGAGGCGTGAAGAGGGAACGAGAATGGGACACCAGTATAGAATCAGACTGCTCCGAAGGAGATGCCGATTATGTACTCAAGCACAAAAAACAAAGACGGCCGAAGACTCGAAAACTCGATTCGAATCCTCTTTTCTGGAGCGTCGATGATGTCTTTCGATATCTTAGAAAGACCACGGATTGCAAGGATATTGCGTATCGAGTTAAGCAAGAGGTAGGTAACGAGAGATATGTAGTTACGTACTCTTTGCTTTTATTTTTTAAAGGAAGTAGTTATTTCAGCATTTGATTTTATTTCATATTAAATATTTTAGGAGATCGACGGACTTGCTTTTCTCCTGCTGAACCTGCCATCGATCACCCAACACATGAAACTACGAACCAGTTCAGCTATGAAATTGTGTCGTCACGTAGAACAAGTCAAAGTGACGTTCTTCCTGCGACACATCAACGAAGTCGAACCGGAACAGTATCAAATATTATAAGACTCCTTAACTGTGAATGTGTATCGTCGGATCATTGGCGATTCTTGTGAATGTTATTTATTGTACAATTGTATCATGATAGTCGCACTTTAATTCATAAATCTAATGACGAGATTATATACTGTATGCGGATGCGTTTTATAAGACATCCACAGGCATTTCCATCGCATAATCTAAATATGCGTGATCACATATTGAAACTGGAATAAAATGTTATTCGTTTACGAGATTTGCACATTTTTCGTGAATTTTGTTTATTGAGATTGAATAAAGACATTCTGTTAGAATAATACTCTGATCGTGCAGATCATGCCCATATGGCCTATTCTAGACAAATACTCGTCCCATCGTCCTATACTGAAAATGGAAGTCCTTGGTCGCTGACTCGATGAGTCATGATTTTGCGGATCGATAATATCGACTATCGATTGAATTAAGTTTTAAGGGTTCCCTTCTGTCGTAACCGGAAGTGCAAACCCCACGGGACCGTAGTCCGTGATGTTTCGTAACCGCTGTTTGCCGAACCGATACGAGTCTTCGCGTTTCGTCTCTAGAAATAACAATGCTGCCTTCGGCCATCTCGCATTTAGGACATTTTACCTCGGGACATTCACCCACACTTTCCTCGTTTGCCTCGTCGTATTTCATTCTAAATCTGCAACAAAGACGGAGTCAACCGTGCCAGATACCTTTAAACTTGCTCTGTCGCTTTGCCAAAGAGCTCGCATTTCCGAAGGCATATAAGAGCGGAGAAAGTCGACGTGGTTTGCGCGTCTAAAAAAAAGTTTACAACCGCAGCGATCCAGGCGCACAGACCTAGCAGCATTCCCGATCCTCTAAGCAAACGCGACAATAAATGTCCAGAAACAATTAGCGGTCAATTGAACATTACCAACGATCATAAAGAAACTAATGCATATACAAAAAAACAATTGCCACGAACGACGCCCGAGGTTTAGTTCGAATTTCGCGCCGCCGTCTTCCACGGCCGCGATTCGAGGAGGCACGTGATTGGCCAGCGGTTTCCGGCGCACGCGCCGCGTAGTTCGCCGCCCCTGTGCCAGGCGGCGCTGCCTCACCCTGCTTACGCAGCGCGTGAAGTGTGCGCCAGTCAGTGGTGGTCAGTGGTTGTCGACGATGAGTTGGTGATGCGCGTTGTGCGGGGCGAAAAGCGAATGATTGGCCGTTGAGATAGGTAAGTGAACCAGTTATCGGTGACGTCTGCCTCGCGATATCAGCTTCCCTGTTACGTTATCTGGCCCGGTAGCACGGGCACTCTATGGTGGGCCAAAGCCGAGTGACAGCGCGCTCGGCGCGATCAATGCGTTCGTTCCCGACACACACGACGGGTGTGACCGCGCGCGGTCGAGCACGAGTGTGTCGACCCTGTTCCCCTTACCCCACGCTGGCCTCTCCCACCAGCCCGCGAGGACCGATTATAAATAAACAATTAATTTCTTTCATCCCCATCCAAACCGACCCGCCTATCGCGCTCGAACGTCAATCGTGCCCGATTCGATGTCTCTATTTCCGGACGATGCTGTCATTTAGTGGAGGACGTCCGAGTCTTCGGTGAGATCATCGCGCCGCAACCTGTTCGCTGCGTTTTCCGTAGCGAGTCTCGCGATCGGACTTCTGCGTGCTCTATGGGGAAACGGCATTATTTCTTTTTATATTTCTCATCGGCCCGTTAGACCCGCGGCGGCACCGGGCAGCGCGGTGCAGGGTGTGTAACGGGAGCGAAGACCCGGGCCACGGTTCGCCCAGGTGTGCGAAGGTGTGCGAGATGCGCACTCGCCGCCGCGCGCTCCTGCGCTTTTCCTACGCCCTGATCGCGGGCGTCGCCAATGGCAACCGTTAGGGCTAAACAATGCGCGCGATTCGAATCCTGGAACGGGATTCTCTGTTCGGCCGAAAACGAGGATGCGCTCTCCTTTCTTTCGCCGACTGGGACATTCGATGTAGCGGCAGTGTTGCCAACCGTACTATATTATAGTACTTGTACTATTACTTTAGTCAGGTGTACTATGCATTTTTAGAACAATAATAGTACGCGAATTGTACATCATTTCAGTAGAAAGTGAAGTCGCGTCCGCCGACGACTTTGTCATTGCCGATGGATATTTTTGTTTACATTCTTGGCTTTGTTTGTAAAGACGTTTATGTTATGTTGCAATGGGGAATTAAATTAAACTCTTTGACATTCATTTTCAGTTGAATATTAATAATCGTTTAATGCGTCGAATCGCATTCTCTTTCCTCTTTAAACACATACGAGATTTAGATTTAAATATTTGCATACATTCAAAGTTTTCAATTTCTACTATTGTTTTAATCTAACTGTACTAGAGTAAACCGAACTGAAGTTGGCAACATTGTGTAGCGAGCTGTATCGTTTAGATGCAACGGTTTTTCCAAGTACTAACACTAAACGCGAGAGCTTTGGTATTGTAATGTGTATGGGTTTACAGATTTTTTTATTTCGTGTTTTGACATTGTAAAAAGCGATCCGTGCGAATGATTCAGTTATATCTTTTCGGGAAATTGCATGTCCTGTATTTTGAAACGGATCCGCTCGAAATCGGGGATGCCTCCTCTGAGCCTGAATTTATGTCACGGTTGTAATCCCAAATGTAACGGGTGGCATTGTTTGGATGCGCCGAGCACTGCAGTCCCGGGATATTCCGTGGATCTTTTGTATTCGCACATCTGCTCGATTTCCCCGCGTTTTGATTTACGACGTTACGTTATGGGGACGGTAATCCGCGTCGGGGGTAACGATGTTATTCCGGCGTAAAGGCGCGAAAATGTTGCACGGCTTTTGTATTCATAGGGTATTGTTATTTTCTTTTTTTTTTTATTTCAGGTAGCGAACGATAGCCAGCCATCATGAGGTGCATCTTGTGCATCGTTGCAGTACTTGCGCTGCACACGTCGGCCATAAGTAAGGGCATACCGTTTATTTATCTTTATAGTTTTCTAAGGAATACATCAGAGTGGATGGAGATTGAGATGATTAACCCTTTGCCATCCTTCGAAAAGTCTGACTTGTGGTAAAAATGTTGGGCCCAACGTGAACATCACGAGTCAGATCTGTAATCGTCATTTCGAATGAAACGAATTTTCCCTTTTTCGCAGATCACTTTGGCCCGAATTTTCTCGAGTTAATTTGTAGGACTAAAGGTCAAGAGATTAAAGGAGAAAAGCATCTCTACGATTTCTGGATATTTAAATCCACTCTGATGTATGTCAATAATGCAGATATTAAGGATAATAATATGGGGGGAAATTTCTTTTCCGATATTAATTCCTGGTTCTATATTATAGTTCGAATCCCGGATTTCATAGAAGGTGAAGCAACTAGTAGAAACTGTGATAAGTGAGCCACAGTAGACGTTATAGCTGGAATAGCCACTTATGCGGCAACATTTGTGCAGCTGTAATTTAACTTCAGTGTATTGCAATTGTTTATAAAAGCACCGAAGCTTTCTTCGAACGAGGCTAGCTATTTATAGATTTATCGGCCAGTTCTATTAGTATTTTTTTTTTTTCCCAGCAAATTGTTAATCCCGATTATTACATTCATCGGATGTGTCACACGTAATGTTGTACATAGTTCAGGAGCACAAAGTTCTGTACATAGAGATCTCGTTGACTTTGTACCAAGCACTAGAGAGCTTCCGATCGTTTGCCAGACCTCATCCCCGCACCTTATCTCTCACGATTTTGAAGTACTACTCTCGGTGTCCTTAAGATCTGTTATACACTTCATTATATATGTCATCGCATATACATATATACATAGAATTTATCACGACCCCACTTTTGTATCGCTTGTTAGCCGTCGTAATCCGATTAGATGTCAAAGCCGTTACGCAAAGAAAACAGTCATCTCGTTTTTAACTGGACCTTTTGTGGTCGGCATGTTTTTTTCTAATCAAGCTTTTGTCTCCTCAACAGTCCAGTCACCGCCGCGGATATCGAAACAGCCGCCGACCGATGAACAACTGTTCCAAGTCGCCCAGGCGAAAGTAAACGAGAACGACAAGCCATTTTTGATCGAATGCGAGGCCGAAGGTGAACCTGCTCCCAGGTAACGTCATTGGTTTACGACATTTTTATCCTCGAGCCGTCCTCCTAGATATCGTTCACCTCTCACTGTGCATCGTGTCGGCTTCCTCGGACCTTGGCGGCGAGCGGGGAATCTGCCGCGAGAAATTCGACGGGAAAAATGGAGGGACCCGGTGGAGGGGAGGAAATCACCACTCCTGGTCCTGGACGGTCTCGAGAGGAGGCTCATTGGCGAGATTCAATTCCGGTGACACATGGTTGACACTCAATTCACGGCTCGACCGCCGGGTAGCGGCGAAGCCTGAGTAACTGGTCTTAATTACTTGGATGACCTCAGCCTCGGGGAGTGTAACGTTACCGCCACCGATAAAGAAGTCTCGTCGAGAGGCCGTATTACCGACATGGGAGTGGTCCTCTCGGTTATCTGGATCCGAGCTGAGAAAATATCTTCTAACGTAGCGGAAACGGCACTTAACGTGGCGTTTCCATCCCGGACCCATGGGTCGGGCCTGTTTATGTATCACCTTTGCGTCGACCTTTTTTTTCTCTCATTCTTTCCCACACCTTCGCGGCATCGATTAGATTTAATTCTATTTTTACCCACGCGATGATCCGGCTGCGAGCACCTGTTTTTCTCTTACTTCTCCTCTCGACGGAAATATTAAACGAGAGAGGAATTCTGGACGGGAATTCGGTGGTTAACCGAGTGCTAGATTTAAATGGCCATCGACGCGGTGGCTTCGAAGTCAATGAACTTATTGGACGAGCACTTGGTGATGCAGTGGCCGACATCTATTATGTTTCTCGTATGCCAGGAAGTCGACTAAGACCGAAATTAACATATATCTAGAATGTGCCACTTTACTTATAAGTGATGTAAGTGCACGGTGCACTCGTTTTAGGAAATGTTCCGTTCGAGCGGCGCGAGATCTGCAGACGTTGGATGTGGTATTGTTAAATGTGATACGATTTGCTCGCAGGTACCGATGGATTAAAAACGGAAAGGACTTCGAATGGCCCGCTTACGACGATCGCATTTCCCAGCAGCCTGGAAGAGGAACCCTTGTCATATCGAAGCCGCGAGACGAAGACCTGGGTCAGTATCAATGCTTCGCAGAAAATGAGTGGGGAATCGCTACCTCGAATTCGGTGTTCGTGAGGAAGACGGAGCTGAACTCCTTCAAGGACGAGAGCCCTAAGACCCTGAGCGCCGATGAGGGGGAGCCCTTCAAGCTGACTTGTCAACCTCCGGATGGCTGGCCTAAGCCGAACGTCTATTGGTTCATTCAGGACACTTTGGGAGGCATCAAGTCGATTAACAATTCCAGGATGACGTTGGATCCGGAAGGGAACCTCTGGTTCAGCAACGTCACCAGGAACGACGCGTCCGATGATTTTTATTACGCTTGCGCAGCTTCCTCAGTCTTCAGGAACGAGTACAAAGTGGGAAACCGCGTGTTGCTTCATGTCATTTCTACGGGTAAGGACATGGATTGGCCGGGCGATTAATTGGCTCGGCAGACGTTCGTTAATATGTATCATTTTATTTATAGGCGCTTCTGCTAGCCAGAATAAACACGCCCCGGTAAGGCAATACACCAGCAGGAAAAACGAGGTCGCATTGAGAGGGAAGAAGGTGGAGTTATATTGCATATACGGCGGGACCCCTTTGCCTCAGATAGTCTGGAGCAAGAACGGCAATCAACTCAGGCCTAACGATAGGATAACCCAAGGCAACTATGGAAAGTCCCTGATCATAAAGCATGTTAATTTCGAGGACGAGGGTACATATAGTTGCGAGGCATCGAACGGCGTCGGCGATGCTCAGTCGTATTCGATTAAATTACAAGTTATGGCGGTGCCATATTTCACGGTTGAGCCGGAAATCGTGAATGCGGCTGAGGACGAGATGGCGGAATTTAGATGCGAGGCCAGTGGAGTACCGGAGCCGCAGATTAAATGGATACACAATGGCAAGCCTATATCCGAGGCGCCGCCTAATCCCAGAAGGAAGGTCACGGGCAACTCGATCATCATCGAGAAACTGACGAAAAATGACACCGGGAATTACGGCTGTAACGCTACCAATTCTTTGGGATACGTTTACAAGGATGTTTATGTTAACGTCTTGGCACTGGAGCCTGAAATTACGGAACCACCCTTTGACGAAGCTACCGTCGACGGTAAGACGATCAGGATGACCTGTCGCGTCTTCGGTGCACCCAAACCTGAGGTCAAATGGGTCAGGAACGGCCAGGAATTAACTGGGGGTCGGTACAAGATTCTGGAGTCCGGGGACCTGGAGATCGAGAATGTCATTTTCTTGGATTCCGGAACGTATACTTGCCATGCAGCTAATAAATTTGGCGAAGTGGAAGCCACGGGTAATCTGGTGGTCAGAGAACGAACGAGAATAACGGATGCACCGGAGGATTACGAAGTAACAGCGGGGTCGACGGCAACTTTTAGGTATGCCGATGTCAAATTTGATGTGTTTATTTTACTTGGGTTTTAGTATTTTCTTAAAAGTTGATTTGAAAGATTGTCCGAGATGAAAGTTGTTTAATACTGCTTTTAGATGCAATGCCGTAACCGATTCGACTCTGCCTTTGACGATCGACTGGCTAGCTAACGGCGAGCCTATAGATTTTGAGATGGAGCCAAGATTTGTACAAACCACTGACTCGTCATTGTTGATTACAAAAACGACGGAGCTCGATTCTGGAATTTATACTTGTGTAGCGCATACCGATTTGGATGAAACGAAAGCACAGGCTACCCTGACGGTTCAAGATGTACCAAATGCTCCGCAATTGCTTAGCGTCAAGTGCATGTCCACGGAAGCCTTGGTTCAGTGGACACCGATGGGGGATAACAGAGCACCCATCCTTCGGTACACTATTCAGTGCAATACTAGTTTTACTCCCGACACTTGGGAAGTAGCCAAAGATGATGTGCCTGCTACCGAACAAAACTATATCATACCGATGACACCTTGGGCCAACTATACCTTCCGAGTGGTAGCATTTAATAAAGTTGGTAAGTCTCTCGGATTGCAATGTCGAATACCTGAAACGTGTAAGAAAGTCTGTAAACTAATATATTTTTCCATAAAATAGGTCCGTCTTTACCTTCCTCGCATAGTGAAGTGTGTACCACTCAACCTGATGTACCATATAGAAACCCACATAATGTCGCGGGTCGAGGAACGGATCCTCAAAATATCGTCATTACATGGACCTCGATGCCTCAAATAGAGCATAATGCTCCCAGACTCACGTACAGGGTATACTACAAACGGGATATCCCTGGAGAAAAATGGACAATAGAGGATATTCATGATTGGAAAATCGATAGACTTCAAGTTGACAATCAACCTACTTACCAAAGATACAGGATTAAAGTTGGCGCAATTAACGAGAAGGGAGAATGTAGGACACACCCAGATGAGGTGATCGGATACTCTGGAGAAGATGGTATGCATTTCGAAATAATTGGTTAAATTAAATGTTATCAACCTGTTCAAACCTTGTGATTAACGGTCATAATTTTTCCGCGTCTTTTCTAGTCCCCCTGCAAGCTCCTACAAACTTTACGTTGATTCGAGTGCGGTCAAGCACCAGTGCTTTAGTCTCCTGGAACCCCGTACCCGAGGAATCGGTACGTGGTGAATTACGTGGGTATAAAATTCAAACGTGGACGGACCGTGATGGTGAAGAGGGAATGCGAGAGATTAATGTGCGGGACGGCAATAGAACTCACGCCTTGATCTCTAAACTTATTCCGTATAGCAAAAATTACGTGCGGGTCCTCGCTTACAATGGAAGGTAAATCTCACACTTTTTCGTTAAGAGCAGTTTATTAGATAACTTTATTACGTCCGTGATACGACCGTTTTCAGATATAACGGCCCACCATCGGAGGTTTTGAGTTTCGAAACGCCGGAAGGTGTGCCAGGCACGGTCCTCAGTTTAGAGGCCTTTCCAATCGCGTCAAGTGCTCTCTTCTTGGTCTGGACGAAACCTTCAGAGCCGAACGGTATTCTCACTGGTTACCAGATTTCTTATCAAGTAGTAAACGGTACCAGACTGGGACAAGAATTAGAGAGAGAGCCGCACGTTTCTAATCCCGAAGCAACGAGTGCTAAGTTAGCCGGCTTGGCGCCAGATACGAAGTACCGCGTGCACATTCGAGCGACTACAAGAGCTGGCGATGGGAAAGAGTAAGAGTAGTTATTGGATGACGATGTTAATTAACATTAGTGTTAATTTGTACCCAAAGTGATATTAAAATTATTACTTGGGTTTTAGTTACTTTATCGAGCAAAAAACCAGGATCGCTCAGCCTCCGGATGTGCCGCAGTTTACGTGGGAACGAATTTTAACGGAAAATGGTTTAACAACTGTAAGGGTCACTTGGCAGCCAAACTTAAATGGCAATCCGGGCAGTCACTTCTTCGCCAAATATAAGTTGAAGGGAGAAACTGTCGCTAGGCAAACCGACCCAGAATTCATCTCGAATACAATCGACGTGAGTGTATTATATTTTCTTAATTTACATTTACTATCTTGGGCAGATTATAACTATTTTTTCATCTTTCTGTGGTAGATCCGGGGCCTGCAAAGTGGAGAACTGTACGTTGTAACCATTGTCGCCGTCGATGGCGACTATGTGACGGAGAGTGCACCACAAGAAATCGAAACTAGCAGCGATGGACCTATTATTCAGCCTAAAGAGAATGTTGCCACTGCCGGATGGTTCATCGGTAAAAATATTATTGATATCCTGATTGAAATGGGTCAGGGATCGTCTATACAAATTTATTTTACTTCTTTAGGAATGATGTTGGCAATTGCTTTCCTCTTGCTGGTATTGATCATCGTTTGCGTGATCAAACGTAACCGAGGAGGAAAGTATGCCGTCCACGAAAGAGAGCTAGCAGCTGGTCGAGGTGACTACCCCGATGAAGGCGGTTTCCATGAATATTCGCAGCCCTTGGATAATAAATCTGCCGGAGGTCGAGCTTCTTTAGCTTCTTCATCTCACCAGGATGGGAAACATCCCGAATCCGACACGGACTCGATGGCTGAATACGGAGAAGGAGATACCGGTTAGTTATAAAATTCTTTAACTGAATTTATCATCAACATTTTATCTACTTTTTTATGAACGAACGCATAGAGTGCAGAATATAGTTGACATGCGTAGCCCACGTTATTTAGTTAGACATCAGCACGATTACCGCATATCTTGCCGTGCCAATTTTTTCGCTACTTGCTCTTTAAGTTCTTGTTTTACTTTATCAGGATTAATTATACTCTTTTATTCTGACGTTTTGATCATGGGTATTTTTAATCAACTAGTATCACAGATTCACGCATGTTGACAATTTCTAGTTCCGTTTGATTATGTTATTAATTTTCTTTTCGTCTCGTTCGTTTCGTATGTTGCGTTGCTTGGTTTAACGCAGAGGGTATGAACGAGGATGGGTCCTTCATCGGCCAGTACGGCCGCCAACGGAAACAAGAGCCAAATTCTCAAGCGTTTGCAACGCTAGTCTAAGGTAGGCGAAGGAAGCTTGCTTTGGTACTCTTCATTCCGCTAGTAAATTATTAGTCGTTGGACAACTCATTGAAACGAACTCTTCGATACTCCCGCGCAATGTGCAATGTAAAAGCGAATTCCGTTGTTCTCCGCAGGTCGTTTCACGGAGGACGGCTCTTTCATCGGACAATACGGCCCCAAGGGCAGACCGGAGGAGACGCCGCCTATTCCAACGGGTACAATGGCCACATACGTTTAACTGTCGCAAATTGTACCAGCTAAAACGTCGCGTCCGAATCTCCTACTCGACACGCCGGGGATGTCTGAGGCCTCGGCTGCCTCGACAGCTGCTATGCACCTTGCGCTGGGCGCAATGTCCACACTCTACTGCCAGTTAGATATTTCTTGGTTTTGGGTTTTATAGGTCACCCGTGAAAGGAACTGATTTTTCAATCATGTAAGTATACACGTACGATTCGCCTAGGCGAGTCGTACGCGGCTCGTCCATCCCATGATACGTTGTCGCGAATTTTCTTCGAGTCGAGACATTGATCGCCGTCGAACGTTTCCCTGTAGTTTGCGTGTCTCTCGTGACTCTTCCCACTTATAACGAGAGACGCGACGTCGGTCCAAGTCCTCCCCCTCGAGAGAATTACGCGGACATCGAGGGGACACCTCGCCGTAATTTGTAGGAAACGGTGCGCGAGTTATTCCTTCTTTAAAGATACGATCTCAGACCTCGTTACCAATTTCTACTCGTGATATCAGCGCGGATGAGAGGACACCGAGCTTGCCGAGGGAATTCGTAACTGATTATTATTTCAACGGAAGGAATAACTTGTACACCAGTTTTCCATCGAATCTCAACTTATGTAGACAGATTCCCGAATGAGACATCGGGAGAGCAATTTTCATTGAAGGGAAGATCTGACGTCAAATCCCACCTGCATTCCCGGTTGATTATAAAGCCCAAAGAGATAGGTCCACGATAGAAGTAGGATCCTAGGAACTATTTCTAACGCCGATACCGATGCATTCGATAAGGCCAGATTGTACCGGTGGTGCCGGCTTTTACTACAGGGTACTCAAGTTATGTTTGTATCGTTTCAGATATGTATGTATGATGAATCGCTTTTGGGGCTGCATTTATACCGGGGCTATGACGCAACGAGGTCTCGGCGTTCGCTGGTTTGTTCGCTGATTGCTAACGCGCGGTGCTAATGAAGACTTTTATCGGAAGGGAAAGAGTAAAATGTATAAATTCTAAATTTGCGCGGATTGTTTCAGAGATTTATATTGATTGGTTAGTACGTACCGTCGAGGAGGGGGAGATTCGGTTGGTGTTGCAATTGAAGTACTTATTTCTTCGCCCGATGATAATGAGTTATTGGTTTGAGATACTCTTCGTGTATGTATCGATAAAGGCAGAGGGAGTCATTATCATCGAATAGTGAAACGAAAGTAGGGGCGAATATGATATATTCGTTGGATCGTCTTGTAGTGGTAGGGTTCGACGTGAGGGAAATATAAATGCAGACTTAAAGGCATGTTAGCAAAGCGATGGCGAGCGAAGGCAGGAAAACCGCAGTCTGGCCTGAACTGACCGTAATTTTAACACTTTTCGAGGGAGTCAATATCTAGATTTCCTAGGTCTCTAGACGTTTTAGGGGGATCTAGTTGTCAGAGTTTTTCACAGAACATGAGCAGCGGCCCAAACTCGAGGAATCTCGGACGTTTATAATTAGTCGGAAGTGACGGTGGCGTTTAAAGATATAAGTTATTGTAAATGCACTATACAGTAGTTTAAAAGGAAGAACACAAGGCCTCTAATCGTTGCTTTTTGTATGTGAGACACGCTTTTGCCTGAGGAAGGAAAATGAAAAGACGAGTGGAGTTTCCTTTATTTTTACGAACGTTTTACCATAGTTCTCTCTCCGACTTTTCCTTTTCTAAGTCTAGCGTACTCTAGCGAGCGTAGGATATAACGCGACATATGATTATTTAATATATATTGAAGCATTGAATATATAGAGATACTATATATGAATTATTGACATACGTTAGAGAGTTTCGAAGGAAGACGATGATCACAGGAGGGCGCAGCTATATTATATTATATTATATTATATTATATTACGTGGCATTAATTATTATCTCATCAGGGTGATTTTTCAATCTCTAGTGTACCGGGTGTTCGCCGAAAACTCGAGGCTCACTGACGTTTTCGGGGACTTCCGGTACGGCCGTTTCCATATATCGGAAAACAAGACGCAAATAGAACGTACAGGTTTTCCGCAAAACGAAGGAAAAGAAGGAAGATGAATATAGGATGTATATTATGCACTGTAAAGTTCAAAAATTTCGACACGGCACAAATCGGACCTCTAGGCACGCTGCGACATATTGAGACTTTCGAGTAATTTTATCGGTGTATATTCGCTTTGGGGGAAAAAAAAAAGAAAAAAAAGAATGAGAGAAAGAAAACAATCAAAAAGAAAGGGTTATTATACGCGAAATATGGATCGTAATAATGTCGTTATAATGTTTATCTTGTGGTACGAAAGAGAAAAGAATATGAAAGTACTGCGAGTGGGTAACCGAGCTGGGCAACATTTTCGAATAATTGAGAAAGCTTTTGAGGTTTTTTTTTTTAATTTATTACTCGAGAGATCGTTTTTAAACGACATTTTTTTTACGCGTGGGTGCAACGTTTCTTATTTTAGCAACACGGACGAGGAAGGAGTGCGATTTTTATGCGGACGGGTACTAGTTCTTTATTCTATTTTCTATCTCTTTTTTTTTATTTGAAAATGTTGCACGACTGGCTGACTAGATGCCTTTTTTAACGATACAACGCGCATTCGTCGAAAACTTATTTTGCCGATTATCCTGTACGGAGGACTTAGATATCGAATAATCGTGCCGAACGAATTGTGAGCGATAGACGAAGGACAAAGTCAATGACAAATTACATTACGATAACTTCAGATTAACTTCAGATTGTAAAGATCTTTAAGGACTGTTATATTCACCCCTCGATAAACCGGTCCAATTATGACTAATCTGAGTCCCGAAATTCTGGTGGAACGAGAACTGCCGTCTCAAAATATAGGATCGAAAAAGAATTGCTCTTTTATTTTGGTCGAATAATTAGTGCGTCATGCGGAAGGAACGTACAATGAACCCATGAAGTTGTTAAAAAGTTCCATGTCTGATAAAAACGGTGAAACGAAAGTTGACGGAAACAATGAAAGGGTAACCATGTTTCGAAACGGTGGTTCTCCATGCTAGAAAACCAAATCTGCATACATGTATCTCTTTAGTATATTTTTCTATTGCACGTTTATCTTTCTCCCTGTATCAAAACTGTATACATCTCACTTTCTCTCTATCCAAGGCTTGAATCTCTAATTAGTTATATTAACCAGCTAAGTGGACTCTTCTCCACGACGAACTTCCAGTATTTTTCACACAGGTGACCCCGCAATCATTTTTTTTTTATAGATACTTTTTACGATACGTTGCCGCATTCTTGATTTACCTCGTAATCATGGAATATTTCGTTGTGCATTTAAAAAGTGTAACAGTCCGGGCAATTGGTACCGATTTGCCCAGCACGTTTCCTGCGTTCGATCCACCGGTTAAAAAACACCTGATAACATCAAACTGTAGAATTAGCTGTAAATTGTTCCCGTTTAAACGAGTCCAAGGCTCGTTGTAAATGACAGGAAAATGTGGTACCGAATGCTCGGACACGTATTGATAATATTATTTACAATATATTTATCCGGAAGGTCTCTTGAATCATGGCGGACCGAGATATGCGTGTTCCCGGTTAGAGTCGTACTTTTTGTTCATTTTATTGTGAAGTACACGCGGCAGCTTAAAGCAGTATATTAGGGGAGTTCTGGAGAGCTCGAAGTTTTGCTTTTATTTTCGAGGCAGTTATCCTTGTATCTCGGTCCATCTTGTTATGCCGATTCTTCCGCTGTAAATTACATTTATTAGCGATTAGTCACCAGCATGTAGATTAGAAAAGTTAAGAAGACTAAGCGAGCTGCCGATGGCGCGGGCGAGGCTGTATTTATATTTGTAGCCGCAAAAAGAAAATGCGTTTCCGCGGCTGTTCGAGCCGCGCGGCCAACGGCGAACCGCCCTCGTTTAGGATACAATTTTTCTACGGAACAGAAGACGCATTACGTCTCGGTCGGGCTCTAGGAGTTTTATATATGATTTTTACTTTTTCTCGACCCCTCCAAACGCAGCTGGATGTATCGCCAATAGCGGATATTGGGTTGACTACGCCTTGCGTACCGTTTAAGCGACCTTTTTTAACGTTTGATAAGTTTAACCAGATGTCACCGATAACCCTTGTAACGCGCATTCCAGCATACGTCCGTGTAACATCCTCCCCACTCCTCATGTCAATAAAAAGAGGAATAGGATTATGATTGTGTGTTCTAGATCTTCCTTTCTCCCCCTACTTACAGATTCTAGGACTCCTTCGTTCTCATTTTATTCGACACGTAAACATATTTTCCTAAACCTATTTTCAGACACGCTAATCTATTTTCTCACTTTTTTGTAAATTTAAATTAATTCTGTCGTGTCGGAACCCAATACTTGTCGAATTGTCTTTCATTGCCGGTCCGTCGGCTGGCCGCGACCCGGCTTAGAGTCTTGCCGTAATTTCATGTTTGTTAGACCAAGCAGTCAGTTGTTATCGACATTTTCCATGAAACGGCATAAGTGAATAACATTTTAATGAGTCTCCCATAAATCCGAAAGCAAGTTGGTCATTTTCCGTGAACTTTTAAAGCAATAATACCTGATCAACCTTTAGTGGAAGGGTCGGTTAATATTGGTTAATATCAGAGATGAGTTGGGAGATTGTTCACGGGCAGAGTCGCGTGATCGCATCCTATGATGCCCTTTGGTTTCGTACGTTACCTTTCACCGTTCTTTGTCCCTAAGGACGGCACAACGAATTTCTGATAGGAGCTCGCGCACTCGCGATGGCGGTGCTATCTACCTGTCGCAGTTGGCGGCTCTCGTACTCGTGATGGTAATACCATGCGGCAGTTGACGGTGGCGACTTACCTACGCTTATCGACACTACTCGCTTTTGATGGTAAGGGAAGAACACTCGTGGCGCCGTCTTTGACTTGACCGTTTACTTACCTGATTTATTTTATCCGCAAATGATACAGGCAAATCTACACGTAGATGATTGACCTCGGCTCCCCTACTTAAGTTAGATTTAGGGTCTTTCCTTTCCGCGGGAAAAAAAAAAATAAAAAAAATCCCATCGTGATGCCCCGATGTCTCGTGATGAGGGAAGTATCTATCCGCGAATGGCTGCTCGGGTAATTTCCATTCATCAAATTTATTTCATTTCGTTTGTTTAATATTTTCTAAAGTGTATAGTAATAATATAGTAAACGAAAAGTGCATTCTTATGTGATCTATATGTAATTAATACTCACGTAGTACTTTTTTCCTGCGGTAAGGGGCAATTTCGAGACGCGCGCGTAAGTTTGGGATCATCATGCCTCTTTTCAAGTGACTCCTATTTCGTAAAACAAAGTGAAAAATGTCAAAGACTCTCCGAGCCGTCCACCAGGTAGAATGAATCATGATTTTATTTGTTATATAATAATATCTACAATAAAAATACCATATCGTTTGAAAAACAATTCTCGTTACAATTATACAGAAATTTTATATCTTATCATATATATATATATATATTTATATATATTTAGGTTTCGTTCCAAATAAGATGTAGCGATGAACATTCACCTCGCAGTGGGAGTGAGAAAATACATTATTTTTGTGAGTTTCACATTGATCTTGTCACTCGATTACATCCCGCGAGTTTGCCGGGCGCGGCGAGATCCAAGATGGCGGCGGCAGGGCAGAGGCCGGCCGAGTTTCGAAAAATGTCCTTCTTCCCCATCGCCGCGATCCCGGAAATCGAAGGCGCCCTTATAATTCCGCTATTACCCGCGTTGACGCCAGAGATTCATAGAAAATCGGACTAGAACAATCCAACTTCGTCGGGGCTACTTCTCTCGAGTCCTCTCTCTCTTTCGCTCTTTCTCTCGGTCTCTCTCGCATACGCACACATACTCTCTTTCTCTCTTTCTTTCTCTTACTCTAAAAGTTGCTACACTTAGTTAATAGTAATGTCATCTCAATATATATATCATCGTATTAGTTACCATAATATATAGAAAATACATATAACAATTATTTAAATGACTCACAATCAATCATTTTTTTTTGTTGCAATATACTATTAATCGGTGTTAATTACATGATATCAGTTTTTACACTCGTCGTGGGCTCGAGGTTAGGGATGTACGATAATTGGAGGGTTTAGCGCACGCTAGGGGTAGTATTCTGCAAGAAGGAGGTTAGGATTATCCGTCGTACGGTCGTACTTTTCACATTGTCTTTATCGTACTTAGTTTTATTATTAAGTGAACTTTACCAGAAGCTTAATCGATATCTTTATACAGACGTCGGTCTATCTTGTACTGTTGTACGTATCCTTGCTCTAGCGAATTCTTTCTCGTATTCGTCGTTATTTCTCATTGTTTTCCCTCCCTGATTTCATCGATTCGGAAGTTTCTCTGTCGGTCTCTTAACGGAGTCCTGAAGGCCCGTTTATAAATTCGGGACTTCCGGAGGGTGCTTTCCTTTTTTATTCCTCGTCAGTCGTATTTATCTATTTTTGTTTTGTTTTAACGGGACCTCTCCGCCCTCCACGGGTTGCTTTAGGCTCGCATTTTCTGCTCTCCTTTGAACTTTTGATTGTTTGTGGCGGTGTACCTTTGGCGTCACGAATTTTGTTCAACTTCGTTTATTTTTTTTTTGATTGTTTGATGAATTTTCCCTTTGGCGAATTTCCAACTTGGCTTTTTGTTTCTTATCGGGGAGTCGTTTTGGTGATTTTGGCGAGGTGTTGTTTCGGTTGATTTTAGAGATCTGGGGGGTTTTACGCGTGAGACAATATTTATACAAGTCGCGATAAAACGATTTTCATGAACGAGGGGGTTATGTAGGCGATAATTTATGCTGGATTAATTACATTTAAGGAGTAGTTGTAACAAGAGAGAAATCGGCGGTGAATCATTGATTTTGGCAATAGCGCGTATCGATGATTTAGCTGGGTGAGCGGTTTAAAAAATAGTTTCTAAATGGAGCCCTTCTTTCGAGGAGCTCGGGGTATTCAACAGTTTGTTGTCAGCGTTATTAATGTAATCTCGAGAGTTCAAAAGTGGTGTACGTTTTATATTTACACTTGTACTCTAAGGTTGTTAAATACTTTTGACGAACGTTGCCGAACTGCGGACGCGAGGTATAGTTTTTTTGATTAGACTCGGATTTGTTTTTTTCTTTCTTATCGTCGTTTTAGTTGTCAAATGTAATATAAAGGGGCAAGGTTTAAAACAAAAATCTCTGACTTTTCTTGCGCATCATTGAGTCGTCGCGTTTTGACGTTCCTGGAATATTTGCTAGTGACCTAATACTTGTTAGTGTAAATCTTCATTGCCGAGTATTAGTCAAAACTTATCCATTATTAATCCGTATTGCACGGAGGAGTATTGCTCGTTCCACAGGAAGAATCCCGTTATCTCCTTTGATATGTTGGTCGTATCCTTAAGATCCCGATTCGCGTTCCTCCTCACATCCGAATTCGCGTTTCTAGGTAGAAGTCTCGAGAGCTTTTCGAAATTTCACCATTAATCCCTAAAGCGCGATAAGCGAGAGGAAGAATGGCTTCGGCGATCTCGCGAAAGATGATCGATACTGCATGAATAATAAAATCGCGAAAGAAGACCCACGAAACCAGACGGCAAGGAATAAGAAATGCTTTCCTAGAGTCAACGTAAAGAGGAACTGAATAAAAATGAAGTTCCCGTTTAAGCAACCTCATCTGGTAAGTAAACCTCTCCCAATTTCCGATCGGTGGAAATACATTTTTACAGTGTGATTTTATGTTACATCTTTTTATGATCACCTCAAATCATTACTAATGGCGCGACCATTATTTTTTTACAATGGCTTCGATTAGGGCTGGACAGAAATCGCGGCTTTGCGGTTGAAGTGCCTGCTTCGAATATTATTGCTCTAGTTTCCCTCGAGAATGCCGGAAAATGAGCTTAGGCCAATGTCGCGGGTAGAACACATTTGCTGCATAACACCGAACAATTAACATCGAGCCTCTACATGCGCGGTAAATTTTTTACAGGGACCCGGCGTTCCCACGGTCGAGTTTCTTTTACCGCCTCCGCGTCTCGCAGTTATTCGCTAATAATTCACATATTATACGCTCTGACAGATGGAGGGGTTATACCGCCTTACACACATACCGACAGAAAAATATTTTACACCCTTTTAACACTCAGTATTTACACGCGGAATGTACAGAAGGTGTAGTTTTCTCTCTCTCTCTCTCTCCCGTTCTCTCGTAAGAAAATATTGTCCAGCCCTAGAGAAGGTTACTATGCGCGATTCCTTCGGGATTCCTTCCTCATCGACCAGGCCGACATTTCGAGGGCTTTTCATTCAAGCCCACCTCATTATCAAAAATCTAAAAAACAATTAACGCGACCTATTCCGCCTTCGTCGGGTTAATTTATTCACGCCGACTCGCGAATCGCGACGAAAGAACGTGTTTCCATATATAGTTTATAATATTTGTAACGCCTAATTAGATAGCAAAGTTGGAGGCGAGTTATATCTCGTGGTTCCTTTTTTCCTGGGTAGACGATGCTCTTATCTTTGAAGTGAAATTTCCATTTTTACTGCTCGTTTTTGATACTGGGTGGACTTTACGCGAGTTTTGTGATCGACCTGCGCATACATTTTTCCGCTTAACTTAATACCGTTAATCTCCTTAAGAGTATTTTACTTCCTACCGAAAGAGCTCGCAGAGACTCTGACAATTTCGGTAGTTTCTAGACCGTCGTTTTGATTGAGAGCTTCAGCCATTTTGATTCCTTTTTTTTTCGGATTAGAGTATTCTACATGATACAAGGGTTTAGTGTTCATTGCTTACATGTTAACGGGGGCGTTTCGGGAGCCGCTCAGATGCGAATGCTGTACTTCTAAAATGATTTAACCTCACTCCTACATCTTCGAAACCAATTGGTAATATTTAAAAATAATACAATTTAACAAGTTCTCGACCCTCCCGAATTCGGATCCGATTTATATCAGGTTAATCTAAATTTAACTAATTTAATTATTAAATAAAAAAAAGCCTTTAACGAGTAAAATTTGAAAAACGTTTTGCTATCCGAGAGGTCCATTTTTACAGAATTTCTGGAGGACATGTCAGCCCTCGAACATGTATTTTTATGTATTTTCAACAGCTCCCGAAGCATCGCTCGATGGTTACGACAAATGCTTTTTTTTCTCACGAATACATATGTGAACG